AGTAATTTACTCCTATCCTGAGATTCTCCCTCTTCCTCTCCCTCACCTCAATAACATCCAGCAACAACACATTCTTCCCACACGATTCCTCACATTCCTTCATTCTGTAGAGGCTTTTAGGTGTTTTCTTTATTTTTATGTCGTCTCGGATCTTGTATGTGCTTGTCAGCAAACCATATCTTGTGAAATACTTGGCTTTAGACCACTCTAATGGGTTTCCTGTGTTAGCCTTTTCCCTGCTTGACCAGCTCCGATTTAGTCACTCACCAACCTTTACAGAATGTTCTCTCTTCTTCTAAGTCCATCATTATGCGTCGGACGATCTGTACCACAGAGAAAATGCCACCTGAACGCAAAACCTTGTAACAGCCAAAAATGGAGGGAGGCAAAACAGATTACCGAAAAGGAGGCATTTCCGAGGAGAGTATTATTTTATTCGCTGCACCGTCATGGTTTGAGTCCTGCAAGGGGCGCTGATAATGTCAACTCATTTTAGGCCGAAACTGTAGGCCACTCCTGCTTGGATGAGAATACATTTTGTGAGGCAAGACCACGTTGGAACCTAATGACCACCCGTTTCATTGTGGAAAAGTTGAAGTAGCAGCCCTTTATCAATTTAACGAAATATGGTGACAACATCGCATACATAAATACATGTTGCCTTGCCTGGAATTTCACAACTGGATTTCAGCAGACTAATTTCTTATTCATCACATGCGAATTGTCTCAAAAACCATCAAAATATTCTTACTCTCGTACGAATTTTCAGTCATTTGAGCTCTTGCTCCGCCTCAAATAAGCATCACAATTTAGTCGGACATTGTTGATAACTTTCCGCCGACTACTCATCACATTATAGTAGTTCTGGCCTCCAGTCCCGAGACGGCCAAATCTGGCCAACCTTGCGGTCGCTTGTAAGCTTCGGTCTCGAACTCGGCAACTCATGCCTTCTGAGTCCGGCACTTCCGTCGACTAGCAACAGACGTCCCGAGGGGCGGACGGACGAGGCAAGTTGGCGGCCAGACGAGTCGAGCAGGGCATGAAGCTGACCTGTCCGTGGGCAGAAGAGACCGGCTATCGGGTCAACCAAAAGCCCGCTTCATTCGGCCTTTGTTCCTCTTCTCGTCGCTTTCGAGAAGCCCTTCGGCCCGAGCCTCCCCCAGCCATCTTTTACCTATCTTCGTGCCTGGATCCGGCTCGGCGGCAACTCGCAACTATCATCTCAATTGAGTCCACAATTCAGCCTCACTTGGGCAGCCTCCAACACTCAGCTCCTCATATTTCAGCCTCCCGCCTCCTGCCTACTGCTTTTTGCCTCCGCGGACCAGCTGACGACTTGCAAGGATCATATTTCGGCTCTGGCAATCCCGGTTATCCACATCAGCTGTTGGCCGATTCAACCGGTTGCCAAACGAGGGTAGGCATCGTTGCTAAAAAGGGCACACCACACTACCTCTACATAAGCAAGGAAAAAGTGTGATAGTGAAGGCGTGATACGAGGAAATAGGAGAGATGAATAGACCAGGACAGTAGGAGAGATACCACAACTGTTTAGCACACATTTGGCCAAAAGATCGGTTTCACTTGTCTCCGACACATTGTAGTGTGATGCTAAGACTGTCCATCACACTGACGATGCCTGCGAAACTTCTAGGAATGTACCACATCCACAGTCCGACTTTGGAAATGATGTTGCATACAAATTGCGAAAAAAAGGCAAAATAAATTCTATAAAATCCATTGAAATTGTTAATTATAACCATT